TAGCATGAGTAATTTTACATCACACTACCGTTCGCACTCTTTACGAAACTTTTTCGTTCCGATCTATTTCCCCGTTAATGTTCCCATCTTCATTAAAAGGCGTAAGATGACAAAAACAAGATCTTGAAGAATTTCTCAATAATGTGCTGTGGTTATGGTAGGTAAGGAAATGAGAACATTTTCTCAGTCAAAAAATCACACTGAGAAAGATTTTTCATTTGGTGAATTTCGTAGTGCATCAGTTACCAAGTTTTGCTGTTTCTTGCAGTAATTTGAGCAAGTAAGTATGAAATGTTTTTTTCTAAATTTTTTATAGCAATTACGTTCTAATAAACCATGAATAACATTACTATTATCTGTTATTTCTTGTTTTCAGGCGTTTTGAATCAACTGTGAATAAGGTTTGTTCATCACAATACCTGAAAACTCTGACTTCACTTTTTTGAAAAATGAAATGCTCTTTCCTTTTATTCCCGATCAACAATTAAATATGTTTTCTTGACTTATGAATAACACGAATGGATTGAAATATTTAATTAAATTATCTCAAAATAAACCTTCATTTCGGTGCAATATTGAAATTAGCTTGAATTCTTCATAACATCTGAATATTCTATAATATTCTATAATTTTTGGCGCCAATTTAAATACCCAGAGGTGAGAGGGCAAAAGTAACAGTAATTGAATAGTGTTATTTGGACAATAAAGTAAGAGGTATATTTGCATTAAATTGTTATGCGTCATGGAAATAAGCAGCTTTTCTATAATAAAAAATATAAATATAAGATAATAAAATAATATAATATAAATAATAAATAATATAACTATACAAATAGAAGAGTTATGGAATTATATCGTTTTGTTATAAACGTATATTTATTTATTTATTCCCACACCTTATAAGTTATACCTAATGGTGCAATAAGCCATCGTAATTGTTAAGGCTCATAGAACATTGGCCAGAAATGTAAAACAAAGTCATTATAACTGACTTCTATTTTGAATTTATTGGAAACTTGTAAAACTTACTTAGGTATAAAGTTTGTGGATAGGAAGAAGCTTTACTTAGTTATGAACTATGGACAGGAAGTAGAATTAATGGTCAAACAGTAGACAATTTTAATCCCTGGGTAAAAAATACAACACATTTTAACTGGATAAATGTTTTTTTCGTTTTCAGATTTTATTAGCAGCTTTTAAAATATTCTAGAAATCACCATTTTCCTTTGAAGTAAGAAATAATGGTGACTCTGCCTACAAATGCTTTCGTACTACCATTACTCCAAAAGAACAATATTTTGTGTTCACTGTCAAAATTACAGATTATTCATAGACAGAAAGCTTCGGCATCGATTTCTGTGGCAGAGCAAACCTTCTCTAATGAAGGTCATCAAAATGTCAAACCTTTCAGTGAAATGCCTTGTGTGAAATATTATCCTATTATTGGAAGTACGTGGGTGTATTTCCCCTTAATAGGTAAGTATCGGTTTTAGTAACTTCTACCTGATACATAGAAAATAAAATGTTTAGTTGCCTTTTCTTAGAAAATCGTAACAAGACTTGATTTATCAATTAATTTTATACAACACAGTTGTATATTTTCAGCTTGGGGTGACCTGGTAATTAGGATTAGGGTCTTTGAATAAGAACGACCCACCATGGCC